GCACGCTCCCTTGCGGCATGCTCAAGTTTACTTCGACTTCCTCCGATAGTTGCCCGTCCACTCTAACCCTCTGCGAGTGTTCTACGAGAAAATTCTTAATCCATTAAATTACCCTCACATCGACTTCGGTTTCCGAAATTTTCGTAAGCAGTCTGTCGTGAGGAACGAGGTCAAAGGCCTTTGAGAAGTCTATTACTACAGCATCTGTTCTGGCCCCCGCGTCCAGCGAATCCGAAATATCCTGACAAACCGTGACCACTTTACTTTCGCATGACTACCCAGGCCTAAACCCATGCTGACCCTCATAACCAGTCACTAGCATCCCAGACGTCTTAGGTACCTTGCTGTAATGTGCTCCATTAGCTTGCAAACAACCGATGTTAAACTAACCGGCGTATAGTTTCTAACTAGTGATTTGTCTCCCCCCTTTGTAAATAGGGAACACGATAGCTCTTTCCCAGTCACCTGGAATAGCATTATTGTTCATCGTTATATCCAGCAGTCTCGTGAGGTATGGAATCATGGCTTCTTCGCTTAGCTTCACAATTTCCCCAGGAATACAGTCTGGTCCGGCCGACTTCTTCCTCCCGATTGCTGATAATCGCTTCCTAATTATGTTGATATCAACGGTGAATGGTTTACTTGAGTATGTTGGTTGAATTTTTGTATTATTACGCTCAGAACTGAATATAGAAGCATAATAGGAGTTGGCCTCTTCCACTGGTTCTGTGACGGGCTTGCTATTATTGTCTTTGATCGCCGGGATAATTTCTCGATTTCCCCTATGTGTTTTAACATGCTTATAGAACTCTGGCCAACTTCTACCTACGTTTTGTAGGACCGAGATTAAAAAAGTCTCCCGAGCCTTCTTTTTTGCTTACAGTAACACCCTGTATAATCGTTTCAGCTCCACATGATGATTCTTTCTATATTTGCTCCGATTATATGCTTTTCTAACTTTTACTTTTAATCGTTTAACTTCCCTATTTTAGTATTCAGGGTCAGGATTTTTACTCGGCGTTTTTTTTGGGGGGGGGGACATAACGTTTGATACCCTCGAAAATTATATGCTTCCCAAAGTATATACTTTTCCTTAAGAAAGGCCTGCAAGCCTAGAACATCTGTTTTATGATACAACGGAAGTATTTTTTCAACTTGTGCTCCCTGCCTACTTTCCACCCAATCCACTTCTAATAGCACCCCATTATGGTCTCTAATTCCTGGTACTACAGTACAAGAAATAAACAAACTTTCAGGTTTGAGCAGGTAAACATCCAATATCGTGTCTCCTCTTATGGGATCACCAACTACCTGAGTGTAACCATTGTCCCAAACTATTTACAAACGCCTGAAATCCGCACATTTTTCCGCATCCCCATTCCAAACTGCCTGGGGTAAATTTTAAGTCGCGGCCTGTAATGCTGCTTTTTGTTAGATTTCTCGGAAGTAATGTATGGGCTGCTAATTTTTCAATCGCCGACATATCCTCAATGGGAGCTGTGTAAATACCCATGATTTCCCATGCTTGTTTAGGATCCCATCCTTTTACCTCGACTGCAATCATTTCGAAATCTTCATCTACCCGCAACTCCTACAAGCAATGGAATTTTTGTTACAGATAAAGACCTCCCCCCACCCCAAGCAGACGTCTCTCTCTCTCTCCCCTGAAGGTTGTAAAATCGGCCCTGAATACCTCTGCATTGCCAATATCATCCCTAAGCCATGACTCCGTGCCTATAACATATGGGTTGTACGTGTTGACAGAGTTCCAGAATTCTAATGCTATATTGTAAATACTCCCACAATTAACCTGCAGCACCACTAGGGCCTTACCTTTTGTCCTGTATGTAGACGCCTCTGCTGCAGAACTAATCCTTAGACCAACTTCATTACTCATCATACTACTAGCCACTGGCGTTTCATCTTCCAGTTGAAGTCACTTACTCACTGTCGATGCTTCGACATCAAGTCCACTAACTCTAGCATATAGATGTCCGAGTCTCCTCTTCCATTGAGATGCAGCGCATCTCTAGCGAAGTCGCTGTCCTCTATCCAGCAGTTTGGGTCCACGAACATGATTGCTAGGACTCCTGCTACCCAGTCGAATCTATCATTAAGTGCCCCAATATGCCGCCATGACACGTCACTACATCGCAGCACTTCATTTAGGACCAGTCTGCAGTTCGGATGTTTTGTCTTTGCCGTAGTTGTTAAGCATAAGCTTCACCCATTACCCAGTCGAGATTTGTCGTTGATCTCAAGTCATTCGTTCCGACGTGAATAATAACAGTTTCTATATTACCTAGCTCTCTTTTCCATCACTCTGTGTAGCTGTTCGGTTCTAATACCTGGAAAGTACTCTACCATCATGTCTGTGTGATCAGCCCCGACACTGCGCACCACCGAGTCACCGACCACCATGCACTCGGCAGACTTTAGCTTTGCAGACACTGTGCCTCTCTTTCCAGCTCCCCGCAGTTGTAGCTTATCTTCTAGATCCCCGTTCCTACCTTCAGCTCATCTATTTGTCAAAGCACGTTTTGCAGATCGTCCTGTAGCTTCCTTAACGTGTCAGCCTTACACGTCTCACAGCTCCACTTCTCTCTCCCAGTCGGTTGAGCCTTTACATTTCTGCAGCTATAATGGTACCAGCGTCCACATAGTTCACATTGGATTCCATACCTCAGGTTCCCTAATTGCATGATGTTCTCCACCTCCGCAGCGGGACCAGGATTTTGTTTCACTCCACAAATCACCAGTAGAACAGCTAAAACCATTGAACTCAGTCCCGTCAACTCCAAGCAGACACCCATCGCTCGGTTAGCGCCGCCTCTCCTAGGCCTGCCATGCCAAGAGAATATTCTGGCCCAGGTGCCAACTCTGACCTGGTAGTCCTCCAGGTAGCAGCCCATTGTCAACCCTTACTCAGGAGCTCAGTGTAAACATGTCTAAACACAATGAAGTACACATGTAGTACATGGAGGCAAAGTTATCATTTTTAACTTCAGCAGTAGTCAGTCATGCCCCCCCCCCCCACTGGGATATCTTGGTTCATATTAAAGTTTTAAATACTTTTTAAACTAATATCCTTCTCTTGTAACGAAAGATACGCATTGCTGTAACTACAACTGTTCATGAAGCTTGGCATGAGTGTCATGCCTCCAGAGGTGACAATAATTTTGCACATTTTAATTTACTTCTGTTAACAATAGCTGTATGCCAGACATGTGAACATGTGAGGTAGGAGTGACCCTAATGGAATGCTGAACAAAAAGAGTGGTAAATTTATGTCATAACAGATCTTTGAAAAATATGGTACATTTATGAAGGTAACATTTAAACTAACAGCATGGTTGCCATGTGAAATATGTACTTAGCTTTTAGTACACTGGTAATTATTAATGAATTCTTGAACTGGGGATGTGAAATGTTATATGGAGACAAATCATAAACATTGTTAGAAATTTAGTATAAAACATTCCTCATTCTTAATAGTTAAAACCGGTGACACTACAGAACTTTGAGATGTCTTACAAATTAAGTGTGGTAGGACTGTCCTGGTTGGAAGTTATGCACTGAAATGGGTCACAGAATTTTGTAATTATTAACTTCTAGTTCTTTCTAGTTTCACTATAGAGACTGAGATATTTGAAGAGATTAGCTATCGTATGTTGTTCCAAAATGTTTTTAATTGAATGTACAGATGCGCAGCATAAATATCCTGGAAACAGTAACAGGAAGATTACAGTCTTCTGGAAATTGATGCCCTGTATAGTATGGTAGATGAGTACCAATGTGTCAGAAGAACCTACACTCTTCATCTTCAAACCTCCAAGATGTTGGTACCGCTGTGTAACAGACTACACAGTGTCACATTCCAGAAGTCTGTAATGTCATACTCATCACCATTAGAATCTGAGTCTCATGCAACAGTAACTAGTGTTTGTTTGCTAACTCTGTTGTAGTGGCACTGGCTATGAGCTGTGGGGCAACTGCAATGCTCCAAGGGCCATAACTCTGTCTGCCCTTATATACTGTCTGCGTTGCATGGTGGGACATGATGTGCCTCTCAACCAGGTAAAGGCAGGCTGGTGAAATAATAATGCAATAGATATGTACCTGAGAAGTACCTGTTTCAAATTTGCCTACGCTACTAGCTATTTTGTTTGATGTTTTATATGGCTTTCATCAATCTCTTCAGGTAAATTTTGGAATATCCAACCAAGTAGATTATGTCCACCTCCTGCCAAATCATTATCTCTTCACCATTTATGATCAGGTATTCACTGTGTAATGTCTGCAAGTGATACAGTAGTACTTAGTGACATGAGAAAAGTTTACTGCATGTGTATAAGCTACTTATTAAAATTAGCCTGTTATGTATGTGCAAAAGCAAATTAATATTTCCACCAGGAATGAAAATTATTCAGTGTGTAGTGTATGAACATTTAGGTATGTTACTGTATGGATTTTATATTTATTTGAAGGGCTGCCTGAATCCAGTAAGAGTGACCATTCCAAAAGGCAGCTTGCTTCATCCATCAGACACTGCAGCTGTTGTTGGTGGCAATGTGCTGACCTCTCAGCGCATAGTTGATGTTGTGCTGAAGGCTTTCGAGGTTTGTGCGGCCTCTCAGGGCTGCATGAACAATGTCACCTTTGGGGAGGAGAAGTGGGGCTATTATGAAACAGTTGCAGGTGGAGCTGGAGCTGTAAGTTCAGTACTATAAACAGTCTGAAGCATTCATGGTAAATGCATGAAACATGAATGCTTTTATTTGTCAGATCACATACATGTACAAAGACCTTTTCACTGATTACAAAATGGCTAGTGCAAAAGTAGCAGGCAAAGCCAAGTGGGCACTCAAATCAAGCGAATAATACAATTACAGGGACCTTCGTGGCATGGCCATAGTGGTATCCATACTCATATGACCAACACTCGTATCACTGATGCTGAAATTCTCGAGCGTCGTTATCCAGTAATTCTACGCCACTTCAGCCTGCGTCCAAATTCTGGTGGTTCTGGCCGCTACAGAGGAGGCGATGGAGTTGTTAGAGAACTGTTGTTCAGACGCCACATCATGCTTTCTGTTCTTACTGAACGCCGAGTTTTCCATCCATATGGTATGAAGGGTAAGTTATGCCAGCTGATTTTTTTGGTACAGTTATTGTGATCGACTTCTGGCAGTTGTTACGAAACTTGTTGTATATGGAATTTCAGTATACATTTGGTATACACTACACTCAAGATTAGTGAAAGTAAAATTAAATTTAATCACATGCATAATTTCTGTCCCTGTAATATAGTAGCATGAAGTGTACTCCAGTTGGGGGTATACATATTTTCCATTTATGTTCTTTGTGATCTTACTTACCTCATGAGCTAGCGGCCTCCGTAGTCTAGAGGTAACGTTCCCACCTCATGACTCGTGGTATGCGGGTTCAAACCCGGCTGAGGTCGTGGAATTTTTAAGGGCGGAAAAA